TATCTGTTCAGAGTATATGGATGTGGGATGAAACACTGGGTATAAAGGACACACTCTCTCTTTTATGAAAATCCTAAGGGCTGGGCCAGACCCTGAGACACTGGTAAGACTCCAATTTCCTAATCCAGAAAAACTGACAGTTTTTTAGCAGCCTATAGTTGAAATTACAGCTGTTTTGGACACACCCCTCTCCTTCTTGCAAGGATAAACAGTGTAACCTTAGATTGGTCATAGAAAGCTCTTGGAGTAAGACAAAAGAACAATGCATATTTTGTAAATATGGGTTGGGGGTGGATGTCTCAGGAACAGAACCTTTATTTGCCTTTAAGCTCCATCTAGCTTCCAAACCCTCTCAGGGGGACACCCATTTCTACCTCTGCTCCAACGTTATCTTCACATTTATACAATAACCAAACTCAGGTAACCATAGTAGAAGTTGAGGACCTAAGACAAACTGTGGCTATTGAATCAGGTACGGGGATACAAATGCTTGGATAGAAATATTCTGTCTAGACAATAAGAGCGATCATTACTACTAGGAGGCCAGAGGTTCAGGGGGTCCCATTTCCATTAGGATGGTCCTCAGATCCAGATGGAATTTATTGCATGTTGGCTTTGTTTCAAAATGCCACGGCTTGGGGTAATGAATCCTGCTGGACATTATTACTACTGTTCCCAGAAGTCAGAGGTCCTGTGGGTCAGCCCCCAAGGATTGTTAAACCACCCACCCCAGATGTCAATGATACCTCATGTCTTACCAGGCAGGGAGAACGATTGACAAATGTGGAAAACCTGATGGGATACAGTGAAAGCCAGTCTTTCAACAGCCTCACAAACCAGTCCAGTCTTGGTGGGCAGGGCTGATGTCTGGTGGTGCGGTGGAGGACCTCTACTTGAGACTCTCCCAAGTAACTGGGCGGACACTGTGCTTTGGTGCAGCTGGGCAATTCCTTTCACCCCAGCATTTAGATCCCCAGCCCATGCCACAACACCTAGGAAAAGAAGTGACACAGGCACAGACATTATAGCCAGTCACAAAGGTTCCTTGGATCCCCATATTTATACTGATGCCATTGGGGCTCCTAGAGGGGTACCAAATGAATTTAAAGCCAGAAATCAAATTATAGCAGGATTTGAATCAGTACTCTTTTGGTGGTTCACCATAAATAAAAATGTTGAGTGCATTAATTATATTTACTGTAACCAACAAAGGTTTGTTAACTATATCAGGGACTCTATCAAAGGAATAGCAGAGCAATTGGGACCAACTACTCAGATGGCTTGGGAGAACAGTCTAGCATTAGACATGATGTTGGCCTAAAAGGGAGGGGCTTGCATAATGATTAGAGTTCTGTGTTGCACACTTATACCAACTTAATACAGACCCTGATGGAACTATTAGTAAGGCCCTACAGGGATTAACTACCCTATCCAATGAGCTAGCTGAAAATTCAGGTATAACTGATCTATTCACTAACTTAATGGAAAATTGGTTTGAGAGATGGAAGGGCTGGATAATCTCAATCTTAACCTCCTTGGTTGTAGTGGCTGGAGTTTTAATCTTAGTAGGATGTTACATAATTCCTGTGTCTGAGGACTAATATAACAGTTAATCGAGACAGTCCTCACCAAGCAATCACCCCCACCCTACCCAAATAATTTGTTCCTGTTAGTAACACAGAAACATGAGAGCCAATGACTCCTAAATGAATTTGAAGAAAAGAATTTAAATTAAAAGAGGGGGAAAATTGTAAGAAGAACAATCTTTTCTATCAAAGTATATGTCACCCTCTTAGATTATTTAAAATTCCTCAGGTCACCATCTTAGGTGACTTGTGTTGTTTAAAGGGTTCCTGTTTCTTCTTCCGGATTCTTGTACAGTCAGGTTGCCCACCAAATTGCCCACCAAAATTGCGTGCCCTAACCCACCCCCAAGCCTTTTAACCAGTTGAGAAAGACTATGAATCTTTGACCTGGACAAATCCAGGTGAAGGGCAGGTACAACTGTGTCAGGGATATAAGGAGGAGCCACTGTCAGCCATTTTGTGCTCACATGTCTGCTCAGCTGGAGTGAGCACCTGCTTGCACCATTTTGATCAAAAGAAATTGCCCTGTGAAGATTTTCTCTGTCTCTCATGTGTTTGTTTTTGGCAATGGAAGGTCTTTAATTCCAACAGTTAATTTAAGAGCTAAAGCCAGAATTTAGAATTCTTGATGCTTTGGCCAAAATTAAACCATGACTTGTTTCATAGAACCATATAGTTTGAGAGGTAGGAAGTACCTTTGAGATCCTAGGCCTATTTTCCCAAAATTTCTATAACATAAGTGACTTTCAGCATTGGTTAAAATTCAATGTGAATGATAGATATACTCTATCTCATGTCTATTATTTTGGAGAATCATTTTTTTTTCCTATGGTGCTGGGATTTAAACTAAGGGCCTCACTTGAGTCACTCAGCCAGTGCTTTTTTTTTGGTATTTTTGAGACAGAGTTTCAGGAACTATTTGACTCAGGCTGGCTTCAAACCACAATCCTCCTGATCTCTGCCTCCTGAGTAGCTAGGATTACAGGTATGAGTCACTGTTGCCCAGATCTCTGATTTTTTTCTCTTGAAGATTTTTCTTCATTTTCACATACTTATCTAGTTCTGCTCTCATAAGTTACAAAGGAACTACTGTCTGTAGAAGTAATGTAGTCTGGTGAATGGAAGACTGGCTTCCAGTAGTCTGCAGAAAGTATAATAAGCTTGCTTCCTCTAATTCTTTGTCCAATCTATAATTAAGACAGTTTACTAGCAAAATGGAGGAAAACCTTATGTCCAACATAACAAAGACTGGGATAATTAACAAACAACAATTAGTAACTTACAACTGTAGAAAATTAGAAAATTTCTAACTTAGTTCTCACGTTATTAAATAAAATTGGCACATAAGCAGAGGAATGAGTATCAGACTTATGAAGAAAATTGGGGAGATATGGGCTGGGGGGCATGGCTCAAATGGTAGGGTGCCTGCCTCACAAGCATAAATACCTGAGTTCAAACCTCAGTACCACTAAAAAGAAGTCAATTAGAAACTTGTGAAAGAAACTACCTGGTATATATTACAAACAGAACAAGTTGCATAAACACATAAAGATGAAAAGTTTGAGAATCAAATGTATGTACAGGGCACAAGGTGGCTATGGAGAAGATGTGGAAAATTAGACAGGAAAGGGAATAAAGCTAAACAATGAACACTTATTGAGCTATAATCTGGACACTATTTAGAACTTTACATGGAAGAACCCTTATACCACCTTATTAGGTAGATACTATTATCTTATTTTAATGATGGGAGAAAAGGAAGCATGGGAGTATTAGGTTAACCAGTCTAAGTTTATACAACTAGTAAGTGGCAGAAATGAGCTCTGAACCCAGGAAGTGTAACTGGCAGTTATGAAGTGGTCTCATCACAAATGATCTTTCTATTCTGAAAGTTCTGGGACTTCTTAGATAAGGAGTTGGAGGCACTGATAGAAAGATCCTTTCCTACTTCTTTATCTTGGCTCAGCTATCTCAAAAGATTATCTGAGATAAGAGATGTGGTCAGAGTTTACCAGGCCATGGTACTGTTTCAAACTCTGACACTTCGCATATACCTGAGGTTGGGAAGACAGACCTGCATCTGGGTGGTAGCCTAAACTCTGAAATTTCAAGACCCTCTAGCACCCTTCCAAAAAGGAAAGGGAAGGTTTGTCTGAGCATAATGGTATTTACAACTAATTTATCACAACCAATGACAGATTTCTTTGTTCCTTCTCCATTCCCACTGCTTCACTTGACCAGCCTAAAAAAAAAAAACCAAAAAGGAATAAAAGAAAAAAAAACAAAGGAAAGAGAGCTGAAGCTGTGAAAGGGAGAGTATTGGTGGCAGTAAGTACTTGATGTTACTTACTTTGGCAATTGTTTTGTATTCCCTACAAATCTTTTTTTCAAATACATGTAGGAAAAATAGGACATTTTACATAAAACTCTAACCACTGCCAGATCCTACTCTTACAGTAGGACTGGGGATGTGTCTTAAGTAGTAGAGCATCTACCTAGTAAGGGCGAGGCCCTGAGTTCAAACTCTAGTACTGCAAGAAAAAAAAAAGCTTATATTCTGTTAGGTCCCTGGCATTCTTGGGGTGGGCAGAAGAAGGTCCCAAGGCTAGCACTGAAACCAGACCTCCTGATTATGACCCTTGTTTCTCCCTGCCTGATTGTTTCTCGGCTTGCAAAACAACTCAGGAACTTCCAGTTACTCAACTAGCCAGGCATGTGAACCTGTCCCATCTGGTGACCGCAAATAATCAGAGACCAGACTCCTCTCCTTCCCCCATGGCTTGGCTCCTCCTATAAAGCCCACTACCCAATTCAGCCAACCCACTTCACTCTGAAAAGAGTGACAGCCCTGCAGTCTGGTTCCAATAAATCTTTCTTTTCCACACGTGGCGTGGTCTTTATTCGGCAGTACCTTACATATTCCTCACAACAATCCTAGGAGATAGATACAATTGCCGTTCATATCTTGCAAATGGCGCCATGGAAGCACAAAGTTCTATAACTTGTCCACACAGCAAATCTATGGGAAAAGTGATGCTGGAGGACTCACAATAAAATTGTAAACAACTTGTTAAAAATCAATACTTCTGAAAGAACACAGTATTTGGATTAGTACTTGAATTTAGGCTCCACTATTTACTGAGGTGAAAAGATTTGGGGATGGTCATTCTGAATCTCAGTTTTCCCACATATAAAATGGAGATTATAATACTTACCCCCCCGCAAGGTTCTTTTAAACATCTAGTGAAGTGATTATTGTAAAGGTGCAGTGTTACTTTCTAAAATGTTACAGAAATGTCTCCTCCTAGCACCACTCTTGGAAATTTTGGCTCCGGAAGTCGGCGCAAGGCGCTATGGGACTTGTAGTCTTTTACTGCCGTTGGCTCGCCTTTTTTTGCCTTAGAAGGAGGAAGTGGGTGTAAGTCCCGGAAGTACTACCCCCTGAGAGGCGAGCTGGTTAGGGAGGGTCAGAGGTCATGGGGCAGAAAGGCGTTCCCGCCGCCAGCCTTGTAGCTATGTAGCGGTGGGGCCGGCTCCCTCCTCCAAATTCTGGACGGCTCTTGGGCTCCACTAGGACTGTAGCCGCAGGATTCCTAGTCTCGGGCTTCTGGTGCCTGCCGGCTGAGTGGAGCCGCCGCCGCCATGTTTGGCTGCCTAGTGGCGGGGAGGCTGGTGAGGACGCGGCCGTGTAGTATCGGGAAGGGGTCAGGTTGCTGAGGCGAAGCCCGGGGAGCGGGGTGGTGCGCCTGTGCTAGGAACGCGGGGAATCCCACTCGTTGGTGTTTTTTCCTCTGGATGTGTAAGATGGAGAGTGGGACGCCGGGGTGCTCTCCTTTGCCCAGCTCTTCAGATTTATTTGAGACATAGTTAAAAATTAGCTGACATTTATTTTGTGTTTTGTACCAAGTACTGGGCTGAGTGCTGTGTGCACGCCTTTTGTCAATTACTCGTTATTTCGGCCCTTTGTGTAGCGCTCATTTGGCATTTCAGCCTTAAGCTCCGTAACTTTTGAGATGGTCATTATTTCTATTGTGCGTTTGAGGAATTTAAGCTTGAATTTAAGTGTAAATACTCGTCTAAACTCATAACGTGAACTGGAAGTGAATTTGGGATTTTAATCTGTAGCGAGATGTCAAAGATTAAGGTGCTCGGGCAAGGTGAATCTCTTGGGTCGGTCTGCAAAGTCCCTAAGTAAAAATATGCCTAGTATAATTGGAAGTTGACTGATAGAAATGCCAGAAAATTTACTCATAAACTCTATCTGAGATGCTTAGAGAAGAATGCAAGCAAAGTGTTTCCTTACTGGTCAAAAGGGATGAACTGCCTTCCCCGATTTTTAGAATTAAATGACATCAACGCCGGCAATTGTTGAGGAATAATGTGCACGGTGAAACTTGTTTGCTTCCTTAGAAACCATCCAGACATCCGTTATTAGACTTGACTCCTTTTTCATTCCTTTTTCTCCCTGTTTTGTTAAATATTGCAGTCCCTTTGTTGAATTTTTTTAAAATCAGTTTTTGATAATGTATTTTATATGTGGTTATATTCACAAAGAGTACTAGCCTCAAAGTTTATTGTCTGTGCTTCGAGTGACTTCTTGTGGGGAGGAGGTAGTTGGTAATCCTAGTGAGATGATTTTGAATTGCCCCTGCTCTAGGTAAAATGAAAGGACCAGTTTGGGGTGAGAGTGGGGCTCAGATGAGTGGGTGTCATCAATGGGTGACACTGAAAACGAGTGTTTTTAAATATTTTTTTAAAAAGCTATATGGATTCCATGTATCTTTTTTTTCAACCAATTTGGAAAGAAATTTAGTTATAGCAATATGTGTGTCCATTTACTGAACACTCTTTTTGCTGTGCTGTTGGGGATTGAACTCAGGGCCTTACCTGCTAGGCAAGTGCTCTACAAATGAGCAACATCACCATGAGTTTTTGTTTTTAAATGGTGCTTGGGATGGAAACAAGGGCCTTGCACATGCTAGGCAAGTCTCTGCCACTTGAGCTATGTCCCCAACTCCAAAATGAGCAACATTACCAGCCACCAACACCGAATTTTTATGATGAATAAGATTTTTGGGGTTGTTTGGCTTTTTAAATTCTGTAAAATTAGAACCTATAAATCAAAATAAAGGGCAAAAAGACCTAGTCACATCTCAAAACTTAACTACAATATTCTGTTACCAGAAAAATTCACTTACCTAAAGATAGGAACCTAGTTTTCATTCACTGACATTTTTTTGTTAAAGAGAAAGGTCCCTTTTTCTTAAGATCAGTACAGATTTACAGAATGTCTGGTTCTTTGTACAGAAAGAGTTGTCACTTAAATACTTATTTTTGCCTGATTTCAAGGCTCATACATATAGTTTTCCATGCTTTCTAAGGTTATGTATATATGCATACAAAAACCTGATAAAATTGAATTAATAACAATACAGGCAATTTAGCTCTTATTTTTATTTGCTTTACTATATTTACAGTGGAATGTGTTAAATGGGCCAGAAAACTTAAGAAGAAATCAGAACTTTTTATTTCAGTCACTAACTGATTACTGAGGGAATCAGAACTTTAAGAACACTTCACCTTGGCATCTTGGGATTTAAATTAGGGTAGTTGGTATTACTATATAAGTAGTAGATGGAGTTATATAGCAGTATATTTTTCTTAAGTTTTTTTCTTTTTTTGTATTGGTAGATAGGATATTCTAGAGGGAAAAAGTAAGCATTTTAGTAACAATCAGCAAATACTGGGAAATAAGTTGTATTTAGGTAGTAAGAACTGACCATTTTTCAAAAATAATAGTAGTAATTCACATTTGATGTTTTCATGAATAGTAATTGCAATTCAAAAGCAAAAAACCCTACAAGAAAACCAAAACTTACACAAGATAAAATCTTGACAGCCTGTCTACCTGAGTGCTCCCAGTATTTCTTTTTTACTAATAAATATGAAATAGGACTGATAATATTTTTATAAAAATTTTTTTCTGTGAAAATAAATTTTCAAACTTCAAGATGTCACTATAAATTGATTCGTTCTAGAACAAAATAGATTATGAAATGAGTGAAGACTTTCACAAGTTCCTATATACTGAATGGATGGTAGAACTTTAATAATTTATATATAGTCAGTTCTCATTCTTCACAGTAGTTATGTTGTTTAAAGCTTCTATGACATGAAAATGGTAAATGACAGTCATTGTCCCTAGTTCAACTATAGAATTAGATTCCCTGGAGCCTCTAGTCACAACATTTTTTTTTGGCAGTATTGGGTTTGAACTCAGGACCTTTACTTGTTAGGCCGGTGCTCCACTACTTGAGTCACGCATCCAGTTCAAACCAGAACATTTTTGATCAACCTATCATAACTTTTATATGTACTTATGTTTAAAGACTTCTTACTTAATATGCCTTGATGATTCATTAACATTCAACACAACAGCTTTATAATTCATACCTGAATAAAACTTAACATGCATTTTCTGTGAAGCATTTCTTCTTCTTAGAATTTGAAATACTAGTCACCACTTTATAAAGCTTGACCATTTATATAGCAAAATCACCAAAAAAGCACAAAATGAAAAATGTGGCACAAAATAGACCATGAAAGGACACCCGTCCAAAGGATGTGGGCTGAAACAGTATAGTTTTTCTCCACCTCATCTGGGAATATGAGACACAACTCAGACAACTTAGAGTTTTTTCTCTGTAGTCCATAAATGACTGCAGAGGTACAGCAAACATTGATTTTGGGTCACAAATAAATTTTAGTGAATAGCTGAATTTGCAAATATAGAATCTTTGAGTAATTCCTCTTGGGAATTAGTTCCATTTTTATCACCTAAGGTTCTGTATTTTCAAAATGGAGGATAAGAACTTGGTAATGTAATTTGAACAAACCTTCATTTTTCAACATTTTTTAAATGTATTTTTGGATTCTCTATTAAAATTAACACTTTTTCTGCCATATTTGGTGGTTTCATAATTGAAGTATTGTTAGCTCAACATTATACTTGGTATAATGACCATAATCAACTATGCTGGTGACAACACTGTAAAGGTTATTAAAACTCATCCAAATATTGAACTAAGGTCAGTTTCTTATTTTCTAGGTGCAAACAGCTGCACAGCAAGTGGCAGAGGATAAATTTGTTTTTGACTTGCCTGATTATGAAAATATCAACCATGTTGTGGTTTTTATGCTGGGAACCATTCCATTTCCTGAGGGAATGGGAGGATCTGTCTACTTTTCCTATCCTGATTCAAGTGGAATGCCAGTATGGCAACTCCTAGGATTTGTCACTAATGGGAAACCAAGTGCCATCTTCAAAATTTCAGGTCTTAAATCTGGTAAGAATAATATTAAAATAGCTTCACAATAAAACCTTTTCTTAAATAGCATAACAATGAAATAAGTTTTTTTAACTTTCCATTCTGTTTCTCTCGTTGCTAAAGTAGTATATAACGTTTTTTAAAAAGCAGGTGATTCAGAAACATTTGAAAATAGTAAGTGACGGGATTCCTTGGCTCCTCATTCTTGCCCTCTACCCCTGAAGAGAACAACTCACTCTTTTCTTTGGATTTTTCTGAGTTAACAGGTGTTTTAATTGATAAAGAGAGAAGTCTTCTCACAATTTTGTAATATCTATATCTGTGTTTTAAATTCATGGATTAACCTGGTAGACTTGTGTAGGAAATAAGGTGGGAGTGTGTCTTTTCTTTCATTAAGGTTTTTGAACTCTTAGATTTTATTTCTACCCCAGTTTTGGTTCTGTTGATATTGCAGGGAGTAATCCTTTCTTTAATACTTTGAAGTATTTTGTGAAGAAATGTTAAGAATGAAGTTGGGTATGGTGGTTAATGCCTGTAATCCTAGCTACTTGAGAGGCTAAGATAGGGAGGATTGAGGTTCCAGGTCAACCTGGCAAAAAAGTTTAAAAGACCTCGTCTCAGTAGATGCAGTGGTGTGTGTCTCATCCCAGCTACAGCAGGAAGCCTAAAATAGGATTGAGGTCCAGCCCTATTTGAGCAAAAAGCAAGACCTTATTTAATCAAAAATAACCAGAGCAAAGACAGCTGGAGGTATGGCTCAAGCAGTAGAGCACCTGCCTAGCAAGTATAAGACCCTGTGTTCAAACCCTAGTTCCACCACCCTCACCACCCCAAAAAATAAGTGAGACTGAAGCTAGATCAGGTACCATTTACTCCCATCGAATATCTATTTTTCATAAATCTAGATGGAGACATATATGAAAACTCTTAAAATATAAGTATACTGTAAGCCTACCTAATTCACAGATTTTATACATGGTTTTAACCAAACACGGTAAAAAATTTTTTTAAAAATGCAAAAGAAATTTCAAAAAATTAAAAAATTTCTTTGCACATTACACAGCTCAGTTGATGTGGAGAAGCTCTCAGTCCCGTGTTATTGTTGTGTTAAAGTTGTTGTGTGATCTGCTGAGTGTTTCCCTGCCCTTCATTTTGTGAACATATGCCTCCCCAAAAGCAAGGTAAAAGTGAATGTGCTTAATTTAAGTGGCAAAGTGAAAATTTGGGACTCGTTGAACGGCAGCATGGCTTTAGTGGAAGTTGGAGGCATTATGGGAAAAATGAATCAGGCATTAGCACTACAGTACTGAACTCTACATCTTGAACATTTGTGATTTTCCTCATTGGGGGGACCCATGGATACCAAGGGCCTACTGTATATTCCTGTAGAAATTGTTTACGGAGTCCAAGGAAGAACTATATTTAGGTAACATGTAGATAACATGTTTACATATTTAAGTACTTGAGTACCTACTGTGGGAATTTAAAGACAGCGATTAAGGGTTTTTTTTTTTGTTGTTGTCCAAGGGTTTGAACACAGGGCCTCATGCCCACCAGGCAGGTGCTCTACCACTTGAGCCATTCTGCCAGCACCATGATTAAGTTTTTGCCTGAGGTAATTCATTCTAGACAACTAGTTAGAAGAGTGAAAAGTATTTGTACAAAGTGTTGAAGAAGAATAGGAAAGGGAGTAATTAACTCTTAAGTGGTTTGGGGAACTCTTCCTGGAGGAGGTGATATTGGAACTCTTGGGAAGACCAGAGTTTGTCAGGTTCATGACAGACCTATTGGGCATTCTTTTACAGGTGTGGGTAAAACTGGTGTAAGAAAAGTTTGAAAGCATGGTGTGCTGAGAATGGCATGAGGCAGAGTTTATAGGGGAAAGATAGGTGTGGGTCATGAAAAGTTGTGTGTACCCTAACTCATTTGGAATTTAATAGATCAATACTTTTTAATGTGCTTAGCTTACAGACCTGCTTGATAGTATTTTAAAAACTTTTGTGTACTGTAAACATTCAAAAATTTACTAAATAAAAATGATTCAATAACATTATCATATACTTAAAACTAAAGTTCTCTTTTCTGCATGAAAGTTTTACTTTTCCTGCTTAAATTGTTGAAACTTTTAATTTTATACTAATTTGTGTTACACTCCTCATACCAAAAATACACCATGCTGAGTGTCCTCTTGCCAGAGACCTCTAGGAATGTAGAGGTCAAATAGGATGTATTGAATTGTAATAATAAATATGTCTTCTCATCATGGGAAAAAAAAAATGACTCAAGAATGAATTGAAGTCCTAAATATAAAGAAATTAAAATCGATAATTAGAATTTTATATTTGTGTACAGAAAATACAAAGTAAATTGAATCTTAGTTTAAAATTATTTTAGTATAAAAAAGTGTACACAAAAATCAGACGAAATGGAATATTGTACTCATAATATAGCTTCAAAAATGAACATTGTGTAGATAATGTTATTTTATTTAGGTTCCTGTTCACTTCTCCTTTTTCATATTACTTGGAAACAGATTCCTGAATATACTAGTATATATCTTTAAAAGACAGAGTCTTAAAAAAATACAACTATAATGTTGTTATCACACCTGAAACCAAACTATATATATATATATATATATTTTTTTTTTTCGCTCCCCTCAGTACTGGGGGTTGTACTTAGGGCCTCATTCTTCTAGGCAGGTGCTCTACCCTTTGAGCCAGTCCTCCAGCCCTTTTTGTGTTGGTTATTTTTTGAGATAGGGTCTTGCTTTATACCTGGGTGAGTCTAAACCATAGTCCTCCTGTTTATGCTTCCCATTTTGCTGGGATGACATACTCTTGCCACTGTGCGCTGCCACTGGTTGAGATGGGGTCTTGAGAACTTTTCGCTGTGGCTGGCCTCGAACTGTGATCATGCTGATCTTTGCCCTCTAAGTAGCTAGGATTACAGAATTGAACCACCATGTCTGGCCCAAACAATAATTCTTTAATATTAAATTGAAATATTGGTAATCAGTGCCGATTTCCAGTGCTCTCAAAAGTTTTATGTTTATATAAAATTTTTAAATACTTTAAAGTTAACATCTATGTAAGGTCCTTCCTTACATTTCAATTGGTTGGTAGGTTTCCCAGATAACTTTTATAAAAATTAAAGTTTTAATATATTCTTCTGTTTCTAATAAATTAGATTTAGAAGTTTGATCAGATTTTGTTTGAAGTGATTTTAAAATTTTTTGACAGGATTATTATTGGTGATTATGTGTGCTTCTATCAGAAACCACATATATAGTTAATTCTGAGTTCTTTTGTGTGAAATTAGCAGCCATTTATACGTAATACCTAAATTCATTAACTCAATAGGACTTCAAAATGATGGTGTTCTAATGTTGCCATTTGTTTACTAGCTGTAAAGACAAGTGCTACAATGTGTCTAACCCAGTTCTAGTGGTAAAGTCATTGTAGTAAAAGCAGGGTAAATGCCTAATTCTTCTCTTTGAAAAGAATATTCAAAAGTGAGTTGATTCTCTGTGGCATAAGATTCTCAAGCATTCAAAGATAATTAAGTTCTTAAGTATGAGGAACTTGTGTGTATATGTGCATTTGGTTGGTTGATTGATTTTATTTATTTATTTGGTGGGACTGGGGTTTGAACTTGGGGCTTGCAAAGCAGGTGCTCTACTGCTTGAGCCATATCTCCAGTCCAGTTAGTTCTGGTTATTTTGGAGATAGGGTCTCATGAACTATTTGCCCAATGTGGCCTCGAACTGTGATCCTCCCAGTTTTAGCCTCCCAAGTAGCTAGGATTACAGATGTGAGCCACCAGCATCCACCTAATGTCAGATTTATATTTGGTGTAGTTTTAGCATTGATACACCATCAAAGTTTAAGACAGTTTTAATTTTTTAGCTTGCTTTTTTTAGCAGCTACTGGTATTTCATGGCTTTTATTCTTTCTTAAGAAAATTTCCAAAGAACAAAGAAGATTTACTTTGTATTAATAGATTTTAATAGCCTTATTAAAAAATACATTTATTAGCTTTATTGAGGTATAATTAACATAGAATAAATTGCACATATTTAAAGTGTAAAGCAAAATAAGATAAAGTGTAAAGCTTGGCTGGGCCCCGGTGGCTCATGCCTGTAATCCTGGATACTCAGGAGGCAGAGATCCAAGAGGATTATGGTTTGAAGCAGGACCAGGCTGGAGAAGTGCTCAAGGGGTGGGCCCTGAGCTTACATCCCAGTACCCCCCCACACACAAAAGGTGTACAGTTTGATAACTCTTGATATATCTTAATACCTGTGAATCTGTCACCACAATCAAGATAAGGAATGTATCCATCACTCTTAAAACTTTCCTACTTCTTCTTTGTAATCCCGTCTCCTAAATCCTCCCCCAGTGTAGATGACTCCTGACCTATATTTTTTGTCATCATATATTTTTTAGTTTTATATAAAATAGTTTTATATTTTCCCAGATGTTTTATATAAATG